TATAAAGTTGTAAACCAAGCTTTTGTTTTGTCTTCGCTTGAAGAGGGGTGTCGATGATCCTTCTTGTGAGAGGGCCAGGCCTGGGTTGGTTCCAGTCAGATATCTCAGCTTGACGTTCGGCCTTCAAATTGTTTACTTCCTCAAGGAGTTGTAGGACAAGGGGGTCCTGAGAGGAGTCATGTGCCACTGGAATTTTCTTTTGTAAGTATCCATCGCCTCTTGGAAGTAGGAAAGTTTGAGCAAGGGCGTGTGGTTTTTTCTTGGACTCGCCGTACTGACTTCTAGGACGAGTCTGTCGGAATACCTAAGAGTCCCCCGTACCCTCATATTCCTCTGGGACCTGTCGTTTCTTCCCTAGATTGGCAGCTGGCCTGGGTTGTGAGAGGGGACCGAGTTTTTCAGAAACCTTTAGGTCATTGATCTTTGAGCATATGTGGAGGGGATTCTCTCGACGTTGCTTTAGGAAGTCTCGGCAGTCATGATAAACGGCTTTCGATCCTTCCAACCCTTCTGCAAGGAGGTGTCTTCCTTCACTTCTTCTACTTTGGGTCGAAGTATATGGGTTGAGAGAAGTCTCATATTGATCAATGTTTTGATGATTAGCTTGCTCCTCATCAGGGATACCCATGTCGAAGGGAAGCGACCCTCCATGTTAGGGGGCACCCAAATGATGGTTGATGTCCACAGGGGTAACGAGCTCGCGTGTTTGAGTACGCCTAGTTTCGTGGAGTGTCTCAAAGAGCTTCTCATACTGCTCCTGGAGGACCTCATTCTTTATTGCTATCTTGTTATTCTGTGTGATGTGGCTTCTTTCGCTCCCCATGTTGGAGAGGGATCCCTGGTCAAAAGAGAGTGTACGAATGGTGGAAACCAGCTTGGCAAAGCTGAAGAGAGTGGGAATAAGTGTCGTTCCCACAGACGGCGCCAAATGTTGATGCACAAAATCCGCGAGGACTTTGGTACAACAGAAAATGTTAAGTTTGTGACCTTCGCTAGATTGCTTTGGTCACTAGTGTGGATAAGTAAGTAAATGGATAGGGACAGGGAAGCAAACACAAGATGTACGTGGTTCACCTAGATTAGCTACGTCCATGGAGTAGAGGAGTTCTCATTAATTGTGAAGGGTTTAAACAAGTACATAGGTTCAAGCTCTCCTTTAGTGAGTACTAGTGAATGATTTAGTACAAATGACATTAGGAAATATTGTGAGAGAATGATCTCTATTTATAGAAGAGAGTTTCTAATTTCATTCTGACATTGACACGTGTCATATTATGATTGGCTTCTGATGTTGACACGTATTGCGCTATGATTGGCTTCTAATGTCGACACGTGTCACGCTGTGATTGGCCTCCTGGTTGGAGGGAAACTCTTCTGGGTCCTTGACGGTATAACGTTGACTGGTGCTCAGTAGTTTCGTGACTGGTCAAGTATGTTCAAACAACACTCTTTTTACATGGAAAAACATTTGCATTATATATAACATGCCTAGACAGAATCAACTTCTTATTTTTCACATCCTAGCATAAAACGCCTTTGTTTCCCAAAGGATATCCAAGAAAAACACACTAAGTAGATATAGACTATAGCTTAATGTCATTAAATAGTCTTAAGAAAGGGTACACTGCATTACCAAAGACTTTGAAATTATGCACATCTGGAATATGACCAAATACCAATTGATAAGGAGATTTCATGCTTAAATTTTACATGGCAATCTATTGGTCAACAAGGCAGCATAAAAACATGCATAATACCAAAACATAAGATGCAAACTTGCTTCTGGCATTAATGTGATTGCAGTTCGAACCACATGTCTATTTCTTTCCAACAATACCATTTTGTTGATCAATGCTGGTTTGTGCAGCTATTGGAACAAGAGAAGATGGTGGTGGATTGCCTTGTTAAGAAAAATTGTTCATGCAGTAACAATCAAGAGCAATACAATCCATTTTTTTTCACAAATTTGGCAAACAACAAAACTAAAAGATTGACCATTGTCAGTCCAATAATAGCAATTTGGTGTAGTATATGTCCTTTCTTATAATATATTTGACATTTTGGTGAAATTGCAAACTTGTAGTTTGTATTACCATTCTAGTTGCTATCTTTATTTGAACCACTACCAGAGAAGTTACGTCCATATTGAAATTGATGACCCTTCCTATTTCCTGAAAAAAAATGTTGTTATTATCGATGCCACCTTATAATCTATTTCCAAAGCCACCAGAGAAAGATCTTGATTGTTGTTGTTACCACAATTCCTTTGTTGAAATTAAATAGACTTATTACCATTGCTTATAAATCCAAAATCTCATTGAAACCATATACATATTGCCATGAGATTGATCATCATCATAACCATTTGAATATCTATTTGGGTTAAAACTTGAACTTTGGGCTCAAAAGGGAGTTGGCCCAACAAGAAGACTAGGAGGAAAGGAGCCCGAAGCTCAGCCAAAGCCCAGAAGGCAGAAAAAGGGCTTTTCCCGACTAGGTGCAGATCATTTGAACCACTTGTTCACCTACCTAGAGACCAAGTGGTGTAGACTAGCCAGCTAATCAGCCCAAAAGCACTTTACAGTGGCAGTACAAGTAAAAAGCTAATGAGTCATTGCCTTTCAAGTTGCATTCGGGCAAGATTAAAGCTACAGGAGGCCAAGCCAAACTGTCTATAAAAGAAGAAAGAGAAATTAGAGAACGAGACACTCAAACAAACAAACAAATACAATCACAAACTCTGCTCAAGCCAGATTTGCTTTCAACAATGTTGTAGTCAGCCCAAGCCTTCATCCCTTTTGAGATCAACCCTCACCCAAAGCCTTTGTAAAAGCTCTGCTACCTTGTATAAATCTTGTTGTAGTATCGATTTCCTTTTGTAAACTCATCCCCATATCCTTCTTTCTAAGCTCTCAAGCCTCTCTATAAATCACAAAGATAGGAAGTTGTAAGACGACCAGTCTTGCCCGACAAGGTGAAACCTTGCCTGACCCTCTTTATTTTTGTCTTTTCATTCATAAGTTTAGTAATATGTTGTATACTTCCATTTGTATCCAAGTTAGTTCTAGCAATTTGATGATTAAAAGACTCCTCAGTGCTTGAATTCGATTGGAATATGTAGTCACAACTTAAATCAGATCTAAGTTCTAAACCCTCGGGCATGTAAGATTGATCATTCAAAAGTCCTTGGTCTCAAGCATAAAAAAGAACCTTATGTGGACTTAACCCATCCACAACAGTCTTTGATAACAAGAAGTCCGAAGTTACTTGGGGCGCAAGTAATCGACCTATTTCCTAAGTTTTATTGCTGTTATATTATGATTATCGTAGAAAGTTTAAGTATAGAAGTAATTCTGATGGGAAGCCTCAAGGCCTACACCTAAGGCCCTACAAAGGCACCTATTTGGATTCATTCAGCTCTTCGGGCTTGGGTAATTAGAAGTATAATAGTCATAACACTTCTGCGAGCAATGAAACAAACATTATATGTTCGAGTACTGGGTTAATTATTGATTGAGAGCCTCAAGGCCTACACCTAAGGCCCCACAAAGGCACATTTCATAACTAAAACAGTCTCTCGGGTATATGTACAATTAAAACTCAACATTTGTTTTACATCTGCCATGCTAAAGATGGCAATGACACGCCTGAACACCTAAAAGTTAATCTTGATTGTGAGCCTCAAGGCCTACACCTAAGGCTCTACAAAGGCACATTTCAAAGTTAACCATGTTCTTCTCTTTCAGCCTTGCCTGACAAGCCTTGCCCGATAAGATTTGCCTGACAAGCTCGCCAGTGAGCAGAAGCCCGACAGAAAGCATCAACCGGCGCCAACCTCTCAGGGAGCTGTGTGCTCGTCTGCTAAGAAACATCCCCAACGGAATTCTAGCCACGAACATAGTTTTGGCACGCCCGGTGGGATTTCTGTTTCGATCTCGTGTGTCAAAAAGAGGACAAAATACGAATCGTCTCAACCTTTGTTAAAGATGACAGATTAACTAGGAAACCATTCTTCTCCATCAGGACAGGTGGTCTTGGAAAGCCCGACTTCATCTGGAAGAACTGAAGGAAAATGAACTAATGAAGAATTGCAGGCTACTATGATACAAGTGTTGAAGAGCATGGAAAGAATCTCTTTGGAAACTAAAGGGGAAGTAAGTAGACTATGTACCTTGATAGGAAATTTATAAAGAAGACTAGATCTGGAGTTTTCTACTCTAAAAGGTGCTCAAGGAAGTGGGATGAGCCAGATTATAATCAGAAGTGAACCAGTTATTCCCCTATTTCCATTATTAGAAGAAAAACAAGATAAGGGAAAGGAAAAAGAAGTACCTAAAGGAAGCCAGCCCGTGATTGAACTGGTTCTAGAAAAAGAATTCCCCAGCTTTCCATTATTATCATTTAATAGGAAGCAAAATGAACGAGAAATGACGAGGTATGGATGCCCATAATAACCGGAGGAGTCAGCGGAAAAGAAGGCTTTGTCACCTCAGATAAACCTCCTCCTTATAAGCCACCTCCTCTGGCTAAATAAGGGAGGAGGAGCCAACTGGAGGAAGCCTGAGGCAAAGAAAGAAGCAGGCGCGGGCAATGACCGAAGCTCGAAGAACGAGTCTGCCCTTCTCTTCCAGAATAATAATACAACTACTCAACAACTGAGGGAGGAGTTGGCTGAGTTAAGGAGGACGGTGGTTCATAATGCTCAACCACGAGTTCGCCCAGTATTCAAGGTTACCTATCAAAAGCCTTACCCTGAGTACATTGATGAGCAAAACCCGTTTCCTCTCAACTTCAAGATGCCTGCATTCCCAACATTTACTGGTGAATATGGTAGTGTGTCTTCCAGAGACCACATTTTCAAATTCTCCAATCATTGTGTGGCATATGAAGACAACCCGAACTACAAGTTAAGGTTGTTTGGAAATTCATTGGCGGGACTAGCATCTTAATGGTATTCTCTATTACCCCCTAACTCTATTCCCAACTGGGGGCAGATGAAGATGGCCTTCCATGAACAGTTCTATAGAATAGAACCAGAGATGACTATTAATGATCTGGTTGAAGTCAAACAATGCGAACATGAGTCTACAGAGGACTTCATGATGAGGTTCAGGAAAACAAAGATGAGATGCCAATTCCCCATCAACCAAGCTCAGCTCATATCAATCGCCCAAAGGGCTCTGAGGTTACCTTTGAGGAATAGGTTATATGATACGCAATTCAATGAGTTGCAAGAATTGGTAATCGCTGCAACAAAGTATGAAAGGCTACTGCTAGAAGAACAACAAGTGAAGCACACTTCTAAGGCTCCTCATTTTTACAAAAACAAAGCGGCGATTCATCATGTGGAGATAGAAGAGACACGGCTAGAGCATGAAGATGGTCATGATAGGGAGGAAATTGATGTTTGTGCTGCTGAGATGACCACTCATTTCAAACCATTAATGGTGAAAGGGTTGGTTCAACCTATCAAAGATCAGAAAATCGTGATGAATGATTGAGGGTTTGTTCCTATGAAGCCTCCCAAGTACCAGAGTTATTCCTTTGACTTGGCCAAAGCTCCTGAGATCTATGAGGAACTGGTGCGGGCAAGAGTAATTTTGCCCGACAGTACTAAAAAGATGCCCAAGCCAGAAGAGCTAAGAGGGAAGAAATATTGCAAGTTACACTATACCTACAATCATTCCATAGCCAATTGTGACCAGTTCAGAGATTGGATACAAGACTTTATAGTGAAGGGAAAGTTATTGCTGGATAAACCCCAAGCCAGTATGATCGTTGACACAAACCCTTTCCCGGAAGCCTCTATCAACATGGTCAACCTGATTTTGGTAGAAAAGCCAGGGTCATCATTTGTCATAAAAGAAGAAGGAGATAGATCCCAGGTTGCCTCAACACCCCCGCTTAAATAATAGTACCATAAAAGGGACCAAGTGATTATGATCAGGTCCCAAAATTGGTATTAGTAAGGGAAGCAGAAGAAAAAGAAAATAAACAAGGGGGCAGGGAGTTGCCAAGAGCCATAAGCAAAGCAAGCAGAGGCAAAACACATGTTCATTCTGCTAAAAGAAGGGTTACAAGTAATCTTAGTCTAACAATTTTATATCTTTACTCAGAGTGATTATTCGGGAATGATAAGTCTGCATAATTACAAAAATTCTGCTAGGTTCGGCCAGAACAGTATTGCTATTTGCAAGTTAAGACCTAGTGTACTCTAGCTCCGAGTCTGACTTCTTCATTTCTTCGATTTAATGTTTGAGGGTGCCAAGAAGAGTTGCTTGCTCAGCTTTAAGAGCAACAAATTGTTCCTCCAGCTTTTGGATTTCAGAAGTTACCACACCGATCATTTGTTTTGTCAGCAAACCCTCATCCATCAACTGCTCGACCTGTGCAGAAGTACTTGATTCCTTCTCCTTAAAGCATTTTACACGATTGGCTTGTCTATCAACTCTCTGATGCTGCTCCCTAAGAGCCCTAAAATTCTCGAAGTAAGAGAGAAAGGAATCATGTTGGGCTTTGGATAGCTGATCAGCTTTGAAAAGCTCAATCGTAACCTTTTCTAGGTCACGAAGAGCCTTGAGGCTGAATGAAGCTGAGAAGTCCTTCCTAGCCCATTCTTGGAAAGCTCGGTGTTGCTCTTGAAAGCCGGAATGTGTTGAAGAATGCTTTGAAGATTTTAGCCTTGTCTCAAGTTGCCCAAATTCTTCAAAAAGTCCGGGCAAGTTGGCAGTCGTAGAAAATGAAGAAGAAGCAGGAGGGGTTCACACTCCAGTTTCTTCTAATGGAGTAGTAACCGCTGATGGGGCAATTTCGGTATGCCCGGTCTTCTCAAGCCCAGGAAGGGTAATCCCTGTACCTCCAAAAGTTGAAGGAGGCCGGGGGAGCTCCGTCTTACGCACCAAACGCGGGGGAGATTTGCCCGAAGCTTCTCTTAGGGCCTGCTGTAAGAAACAAAGAAGACCAAATTGAGGCAAGAAATGTAGTTTGAAGTAAAGAGAAGTTTTGGGAAGAAGAAATATGCCTGACTAAGCTCTGGGGCTTTAAAAGGAAGAATATCTACTCCTGTTTGAGTAGGAGAACCACTATCACCAACAGGGGAAGAAAAAGCTGTGCCCGAAACTTTACCAATGCCCTAAAAGGCATCCAGGGATTGCCGCAATTTTTAATAAAGCAGGATATAAGAAGAAACTAGAAAGAAAATACTTACATACCTGAGTTCGACCCTGAGGAGAAGAAGGAAGCTTATCAGTGGTAACTATTGGGCAAGCAAGTACCTGCAAAATAGTTGCCCCTGAGGTCACATGAATCTCAGGGACTACGGGTTTGTCACGTGTTACCATTGACGGTTGTTGTGGTCCATGTATGGGAAAAGGCTGAAGAAAATATAAACAGAAGTTAGTATGGACATAATGTACAGAAACTCAATGATAGGATGAGTGCTCACCGAATTACTGCCCTCATCCACAAAGTGCAACATGACTCTTGTGGATGGATCAAATTGAGAAGATGGAGTTACCTCCAGGGCAGAAGGAGAAATTGCAGATTTTAAATGTGATCCTTGACTAGGCAAGGGGGCAGATACCCCGACCTGGGTGAAGAGAGCAGAAGAGAAAGGATCAGGCATTTGTTCCAGAAACTATAAAGTTATCCAAGATTCAAGATTGAGGAAAATGCACATCTGAAGGATTAACCCGAAGAGGAGAAATGCTTGTTTCTCGGGCAGATGACAAAGAGGCATCAGGAGGAAGGATCTTTTCCTCCCTCGCGGCCTAGATCAAGGAATCATGTTCAGAGTTTAAGGAAGATTATGCAAATAAAAATACAAGAAAAATACCTCAAGCTCTTTGAGGGTGATATTTCGCAAATCCTCAGCCTTTTGATACATTTCAGCTCCTAGTGGATCCTCCCTTGAAGCAATAGTTGGTTTTTTGGATGCTTGAGGTCCTGATTTCAAAGAAGACAAGAACAATTAGACAAGGAAGAATGATGGCAATTTGATAAAGGAGAACAGGAAACTTACTTAAAGACTTTAACTTCTTTCTGCCTGCCTCAGAAACCGGAGCAGAATGGACTGAAGGCTTGGAAGTCTGGATGATTCTTACTCTTTTACTCTTTCTGGCGGGAATTGATCATTTAGGTTTGGGTGGGGATGCAGGCTAAGATTCTGAGGTCTCAATCACAACTACTTTATTTCGTTTAGGTGCTTTAATGTTCGCATCAGGAGTTTCTTTAGCCTCTGAATCTCCAAAAGATTCTGAAACATCTTCGCATTCTCCAGCTTCTCATCTTTTAGCCTCTACTGCGGCTCCATGAAGAACTGCTACATCAGCTGAGTCATCCTCGGACTCAATGGGCGTCGTTTCAACATCTACTTGGGCTGCAAGATCAAGCAAAGTAAGATTTAAAGGACTTCAGAAGGGGGATAGAGTCAAGTTAAGAAGAGAAATACCTATCAAAAGTGATCGGTTCTTCTGCTGGATCATTTCCTTCCAGTTTTCAAGTTCGCCCGAACTGGGGTATGACTTGAGGGAAAGTTTACTGAAGAGTCGGTCATGAGTTTCCCTCAAATCTCCTCCATATTTCTTGGTCCATTTGTCTTCCCACCGGGCAGAAAAGAGTGGAGTACATTTAAAATTGAGAACTATGGATTTTCGGGTGGCCTGATTCATAACTTCAAGACTACGTCGGGCAGCTTGGAATGTCGCATCTGAAGGGGATGGTAATCGGAAGGAAGTACCACAGTGGACAGAATCAAAGAACGGAATGGGAATGGCTTGCATAAAGCCTAATTGCCTACTACAAAAGTTAGGGTGATATACCTCCAACCCTCGATCATATCGGTTGCCCCGAACTCCCCAGGCCATGTCTCTTGGTTGAATACAACTAATGAATTTCTCCCTGCAAAAAGAAGTGGCATCTTCCCCGGGAGCGTCTTGGAAGGCTTGATCAGAGAACCAAGGATATCTCCTCAAAACTGACGCACCATATTCCAAGTATGATCGGGTTCTACAAACTTTGAAGAAGAAGAAGCAGGCAAAGGTGGAGTGATCCGTAGGAGCAGCGTCAGCTAAGATTCGGGCAGGGGCCACACCTTCTGGGAACTCTAAGTTAGCAGCCCAAAACTCTGGGAAATACCATTGAAGCCATGTTTGGAACATCCATATGGGTCCATTCAGATTGGTTTCAAATGGCTCACCTTGAGTCATTTCAAAGAGGATGTGGTAGAGATGAGAAAGAAGGAATGGACCTGTAGCAACATCATCAAAATTGTGGAAAGCTTCTACTAAGGGAATCCATTCAACCTTCACCCCTTTAGACTTATTGGGGAAGACATGCTTGTTGAGCCAATATAAAAGGAAGTACATGTGTTTTTTATCCTTATCAACATGAGAAGAATCTGCTCCAAAATTCTCCTTTACGAAAGGGATGAACCCCTTGAAAGAAGTTCTGTAACTCTTGAAAGTTGCAGGATTATATTCCAGTGAAAGGAAAGAGGTGGAGGAACCTGAGTTTTCAATGATTGAAGAGGGAACCCAATCTTGAGTAACATCTACTATTCTGCCCGATGGTCTTAGCCCGAAGACTTGGGCCATGTCTAGAATAGTTGGAGACATGGGACCTATGCGAAAGTCAAAGGTATTTGTGCCCGAATTCCAGAAAAGAAGAGAAGTAGCAAGCAGTTCGAGCTTGGGAATAATGGTAGTTTTTTTAAAGCATTATTAGTTTGTAGATACCATTATTCATCCATTTCTTCTTAAAAGTTGGCTCTAGTTTATCAATCCACTGAGCCCAAGCCGGATCGTTCATTAGAGGAAAGCCTCGACAATATGACAACCATTTAACTGAAGAAATGCCCGACTCAGCCAAGAAAGGATTTAGGGAAAACCAGTTACCCCTGGGCATATTGTTCTCTATCACTGCAGGGACACGAGAAATCCATGCAGGACCCAACGATTGTGCCCCATGCACTTCAAAGAAAAGTTCAGAATACAAACCTGCCCGAGGGCGATGTAGTCCGTTGAGTAAGCGGCGTAAGGTAGCTATGCCTTCGCCGGATTCGTATGATAGTTGGACCTGGCTAGATCCTGAAGCCATTTAACAAAGTTTGGGGGAGGAATGATAAAGAAGATGACAAGAGTAGAAGATATCGGGCAAAGAACAAAGAAGAGTCTGAAAGTTTGAGAGAAGTAAGAAGTCTGGGAAGGTAGAAATTTTTAAGGAAAGGGGATTTCGTGCTAAGTATGTAGAGGATTCGTGGGTTAATGGAAAGATCGTAAAAAGTGATAATTATCTTTAGAAAGAGTTCAAATCCCAAGAAAAAGATTAAGGTATACAGTTATTCAATCAATATTGGCGCCTGGAATTCCAGCCTGAATATTAATTGAAGGGGGCACTGTTTGGGTTAAAACTTGAACTTTGGGCTCAAAAGGGAGTTGGCCCAACAAGAAGACTAGGAGGAAAGGAGCCCGAAGCTCAGCCAAAGCCTAGAAGGCAGAAAATGGCTTTTCCCGACTAGGTGCAGATCATTTGAACCACTTTTTGACCTACCTAGAGACCAAGTGGTGTAGACCAGCCAGCTAATCAGCCCAAAAGCACTTTACAGTGTCAGTACAAGTAAAAAGTTGATGAGTCATTGCCCTTCAAGCTGCATTCAGGCAAGATTAAAGCTACAGGAGGCCAAGCCAAACTGTCTATAAAAGAAGAAAGAGAAATCAGAGAACGAGACACTCAAACAAACAAACAAATACAAGTACAAACTCTACTCAAGCCATATTTGCTTTTAACAAAGTTGTAGTCAGCCTAAGCCTTCATCCCTTTCGGGATCAACCCTCACCCAAAGCCTTTGTAAAAGCTCTGCTACCTTGTATAAATCTTGATGTAGTATTGATTTCCTTCTGTAAACTCATCCCCA